TTTTTTTTTTTTTTTTCACTTTTCTTTTTTGGTACCAAGAATCAAACTCAGGGCCTCATGATGCCAGGCAGGTGGTGCGCTGCTGAGCTACATCCCTGGCCCCCAGTGGTGATTTCCTGAGGCTATTACAGAGGAGGAATTGTCCTGCTGACTTGGACTGGCTCCCCACCCAGGGCTGCTGCTGACTCCCCTCATGGCTTTATCCAGTCATCTGCTCCTCTCTGTGAGAATGGGGAACAAAATGCTGGAGCTCTGAGGGGGCGTAGGGGCTGGGGATTTAGCTCAGTGGTTCTGCCGCCTGCCTCACATTGGCAGGGACGTGAGTTCAATCCCCGGTATCAAAACAAAGCAAAACAAAAAAGAAAAACCAAGGACAGAGAGGCACTGCTGAGTGAGGGAAATGGGGCCCCTTCCCACGAATGTGCAGCAGTGTGCAGGCTCCAACCCCAAGTCCTACCCCCGGAGGTGCTGAGGGCTTGGTGGATGAAGTCTGCTGCAGAGGAGAAGTAGGTGCTGATATCGAAATCGGGGAGGTCGTAGGCTGGCACCCCCAGGTAGCTCACACTGCTGCCGTAGAAGTCGGGGCCGCCCTGGCAGTAGAGGCCCCCATGGGCAGCGTTCAGCACGTGGGTGATCCCCAGCTTCCACAGCTCAAAGCGGTTGTTTGCCGTGGCCCTGGGGAGGGCAGGAAGGAGCTGGAGGCTCGCTGAACCAGTGTCCAGTAAAGAGGTGTCCGTGGCTCCCTCCCTTGGCCAGAGGAATCCAGAGCTCCTCCCCCTGCCCTTTCTGGGGTAGAAGCTGGTTCAGGCTTAGTTTGGATCCTTCCTGCTTCCTTGGGCCATTTGCTCCCAGCCAGGTCAGGAGGGAAGGGACTGTTTCCACCTGGGACCCGGCTGCCCCGCCCTTCTTGCCCCATCTCCTCCCACCCACATCCTGCCTTTCTTGGTCACTGGCACATACCTGCTTCCAATCTGGAAATGTTTAGAGCAACACCTCCCTGACTTGCCATCCTAGGCTTCTCCACCCACTCCGTGTCCAGAGGGGGAAGCTGGGACCAGGAAGGGGGCTCTCTGTCTACCTGGTCTCCAGCTCCACACACTGTGCCCCAGGCCTCTGTCCCCAGACTGGCAATTGTCCTGGATGTGCCAGGAGCCCCAGAGCCGGTGGGAAGAGCCCTTCTTACAGATGGGAACAATCCCTGCCCACTCCCAGTCTGGTGGCCACACCAGGTCCCTGAGCTGTGGCAGTCCTGGAGAAAGTCCCCTCCGGCCCAAGATCTCTGCTTGTTCCCACCCACCCCCTTGGGCCAGCAACCACTCACGCATCTCCTATGAAAAGGTTAGGCCAGACTTCATCCACACGGCTGCAAGAGGCCTTCCCGGCCCTCAGGAGCTCCTCCAGCTCCAGGACACTGGGACAAGGCGTGGCCTCCAAGTCTCCCCGCAGCTCTGGGAGTGAGGCCTCAGCCATGGGCCAGTCCGGCCCACGCCTCTGCCTCTGCGTTCACCCACCCCTCCGTGCTTTTCCAGGGTCATTTCTCCTTCCCAGAGACTGGCAGGGACAGGTGGGACAAGAGTGAGTCAGCAAGTCCTAGAGGCCTCCAGAGAGGCCAGGACTGGTTTTTCCCCAGCCAGGATCACCCCCAAACTCCTTGATAACATGGAGTCAGACCGATTCTGGCTAGTCACTACCTCTCTCAACTTTGATGTCTTTCTCTGTAAAGTTAAGGGTGATCATATTGTAGATAGGTAAGTTAATCAGATGTCTGGTTGGCAGTTAGGGCTGGGCTGCAAGGAACCAACATGCGGGACAATCAAGACACATTCACTGAAGGCCAGTATTGTAAGGGAAGAAACTAGCACACCTGCCCGGGTCCCCTATGGATGAAGAGCAGTGATTGATACTCTAAATAGGTTATCAATCACCTGGGTGGAGGGCCAAGATCATACCCACCCCTTCCAGGATAGTCCCTGACCAAAAATCCTTGTACCCTTGCTATGTCTCTTGTTTCCCCATTGGATCCCCATCTAATCAGTATTACCTGAGTGACTGTACTTGTTGCAGTCTTATTGGTTGATCATCATTTTGTTGACCTTGTGATTTCTCATTGGATCAGTGCTACTTAAACAAATGTACTTGCAATCTTACTAGTTGACTGTAGTTTTGGCTCACCTTGAACCTGCCTCACTTCATGGCTTTGTCCCATAAAACACCTTTGATAAGCAGGGTTGGTGGGTAACCCATTTTCCAGTCCCCCTTCTGTCTCTCCTAGAAAGAAGTTATTTTTCTCTCAATAAATTTCTCCTCCTCTTAACCTCTGCTGTTCTTAGAATTCATTCTTCGATCTTGTAGAACACAAACTCATGTTTCGGATATCTAGCAGTTTTGGAAGTTACATCTACTCCTCCTATATCAATCACACCTTCCAGAGAACAGTTGTAAAGATTAAATGAACTAAAGGATGTGCTGGGTGTAACACATAGTGAGTGCTTTGAAATGTTTGTTGGATTGATAGGTGTAGAGCCTGTCAATAAAAGTCCATTTGTTTTGAGAGCCAGGGCAGAGATGGCTCCAAGGATGAATGATAGAAAAAGCTCTTCTAGAGCCACATATGGTGGCACATGGCTCTGATCTCAGCGCTTGGGAGGCTATGAGCTAGGTGGGAGCCAGATGTCTGTGTGGTGATCCTGTGTGTTCTAGAGTCAGAGAAATGTGGGGAGAAGACATGGACAGCAGCATCTAAAAATTCCCGCAAGGTTTATGGCAGAAGCCACCTGCCAGTGCTAGGCCTGGGCTGGAAGGGGGCCTTTCCTCGGAGTGGGGTAAAGTAGTGGAGGGAGAACATAGGTTCTGATGTTAGACGGACTTGGGTTGGAATAGCAGCTTGGACATATAGTGACTGTGATGTGATAAGAGGGACCTAGAAGCTGGGCCTGCACCTGTCCAGTGGGAAACTAGAAAGCAAGATAAGCCGGTGTGGTGGTGCATGCTTTTAATCCCAGCACTTGGGAGGCTGAGGCAGGAGGATCACTGTGAGTTCGAGACCAGCCTGGGCTACATAGCGAGTTCCAGGTCAGTCTCAACTACATAGTGAGACCCTGTCTCAAAAACCAAAAAAAAAA